GACCCGACCTCTCCTTCCGGTGCTCGCCTAATCTTTTAATCAGTTTAATCCGACCCCCCCCCCCAACTTGTCCAACTGATACACATCCCAACATGCATCATTCTTATCAGTTTTGTTTTAAGACATGCGCTTCAATTAACACTTAATTACGTCACATGGGCCGCAATAGTTTGAAAAACAAATAAGGCTTAATTAGAATAAAATAAAAACAACGGTTTCCATATTTAGGATATGGGTTTGTTGAGGGTTTGTTGTTAGCTTCAATATTTGAGGCAAGAGACGTCGGTTTAAGAACAGTTCTAGTGGGACACAAGTTCTAATTCGGCACAAGTTCTAGTGTGGCACAAATTCTAGTGTGGCACAAGTTCTATTGTTGCACAAATTCTAATTTGGCGCAAGTTTAATTTGGCACAAATTCTAATTTGGCGCAAGTTCTATAGTGGCACAAATTCTAATTTGGCAAATGTTCTAGTGTGGCACAAGTTCTAATTTGGCACAAGTTCTAATGAAGTATAAGTTGCTAGTGTTATATAAGTTTCAACTGTTTATGTGTCTAAGTAGATTTTAAACCCCACATCGCGAGCATTTTAAATAGGACCATCAATTTTAACCTAACCGCCATTAAGTTTTGCTTGCTTCATTATATTTAGACGAGAAAAATGGCCCGTTGAGGAAGGGTACAACGGGCGCTAGGCTGATAGTGCTGTCTCTTTTCTCTAAACTAAAACCAACACCCCCCCCCCCCACACACACCACCCCCACCCCCCCACACCACCCCCACCCCCCCACACCACCCCCACCCCCCCACACACACCCCCCCACACACACCACCCCCTCCACACACCGCCCCCCACCCCCCACCCCCCACCCCTGCACCCCCCCTCCACCTCCCCCCCCAAAAAAAAACATGTCTACCGTCCCATTCAACGAAATATAATTATATACTTTTTCCAGTGTCCGCCCCCTCCCAGAAAATTCTACCCCCGCCCCCGAAAATTTCAAGTACCCCCACCCCTCTCCGGGGAGGAAAAAGTCTGAAAGAAACACTGAAACCAACCCACCCCCCACACACCCCCCCACCCCTCCACCCCCCCCCCCCACCCCCCACCCCTCCACCCCCCACCCCTCCACCCCCCCCACCCCTCCACCCCCCTCCACCCCCCCCCCCCCCCCAAAAAAAACATGTCTACCGTCCCATTGCAAGAAAACCACTTTTTAGATTAGACACATTAATTAGGCGGTAATTTTATTATAGAGTATCAATAAAGAAATTTCTTTTGAGTTAGGGAGGGGGGGTGGGCTCAGACGTTCTTACACGGGGGTGGGGCTTCGCCCCTACCCAAAGAATTCTATGAAAGAAACTCTTCACGCAAACCACTTAGATTAGATAAAATTTGCTTTTTTCAATGTTTACGCGATAATCAATGACGTCATATTACTGTGTGCACTCTCTGGTTTGAGATTATGTTCTACTCTACGCTAAATGTGTCGACGTCATATTTCGTTTTTCGAATTACTGTGCATGTTTTTAAATTGCTTGTGTTTTCTCTAGAGCGTTCTTGTCAGACAGAGCGTTCTTGTCAGACAGAGCGTTCTTGTCAGATAGACAGACAGCGAAACTATTAGTATAGATACATCATTGAGTTTTGTTTACACCCTATAATTTGATTGATACTTTCTTAAAAAATAAACCGGGAGTGATTTCCCTAAACTTTCTCGAATATTCTTGTATAACACTACGGGAGATGGCAACTCGGGATATAGACATGATTTTTAATCCATTTTAACTTTCTCGTGTACGAAGTATATAGAAAATATTGTAAAATTGCAAAACTATGTTTTTCCGACTTAGGGAGGTGTAAAACATCGAGTTTTGAAAAAAAATCTCGATTTTTTTGTTTTGCACAATTACAATACTTCCTCTATACTTCGTATACGAGAAAGTAAAGGATACAATGAAAGTAAAATACCCTTTCGAACTTCCATTCCCCAAAAGTATATTAAAGAGCTATATATTTTGTTCGGACCCCAAGTTTAAGTCCGAAGAACGTCCCCGAGTCCACCCAGCTCTAATGGGTACCTGACCTACTTTAGTGAAAGTAAAGGCGGCGGGGCACTGTGAACCTGTCCCGTAGGTCGTCAGGTTCGAAAGTTGAAACTAACTTCACTTTATTAAACTACTTGATTTAACTCTCATTCATTAAATATCCTTCCACCCCTGCCCTCGGTAAATGGGATAGCCGTGCACGTGAAGACCTCGAGACGGTATTCACTCGTTGATGAAAGAGATGAATTGATTGGAGGAGAGGACGAGCTGTGTAAACATGCCGGCTAAACGGATTAGAGTAACGGCTAGTTAGCTCCATGTCCCATACAACCTGTGTGTGTGTGTGTGTGTGTGTGTGTGTGTCGGGGAGGGGGGGTGTAGACTTAGTAGATTTTAACCATCTATGAACAGGACAGGGACGGCATATCTAGAACTGGCAAACTTTAAGCTACATTTAAATTAAAGGGTACCAAATACCGGTGTGGTTACCTTGCCTCAAAATATGGCTACATGTAAGTGTACATTGTTAGTGGTCAATTTTACGATTGCGGTTTTCTAGCATTTCAATTTTTGAAATAGTAAACATAGAATGGACACGAACGCGACGTCGAATATCGCTTCATGCTACTGTGAAACAGTCGTGTTTGGGCTCCATGGGGGTCTAACTGCCCTTCACTCCCCTCCTGCCTACGCCACCGTACCAAATGCATGCCTACACCTGCCCACACATAGACGAGTACATGAACTGTACGACCCAGCGCTCACCATCCCGTAACCATGGCAACGTCGCTCATGGCTTCTCCTTTTTTTTGTCCGAGCTAAATAAACAAACACACATACCTCGCGAGAAATTTAATAACATTTTTTACAAGCTTTGTTAAGGTCGGGTAGTTTCGCATTCTTCATCTATTCCAGCATGGTTACCATGACAACCGGCATCAACACCGGCCATTGTCTACTATCAGCGATTCAACGAAATCCACTCAGCTTTAATGTCTAAGCAAATAGGTAGACCAGTTGTTATTTGTTCTTGACAGGCTCTATGCTGGGTACATCCCCCACCCCACACACTACTATTTGATATTTAGTTCTACTTGAAGACCCCCCCCCACCCCTCATCTTTTCCCGACCCACCTTTACCCCCGACCTGTGTAGTCTTAGCTGGGTTTAAACGGTACAGGTAAACAAAAGGTTTCCATCGATGTTGGAGTTGTGTTAGCTTACACTAGCGACACGGGGAAATATGACGTCATTCAGCTGCACAATAAACGCGTCATATCTCAGTACAGTACATCGTTTCCCCCCTTCATAAGAATAGAACAGTTCGTGAAGCAGGAAGAAAATGTAGAAACTAATGCAAGTATGGGGGAGAGGAAGCTTGTGGTGTGTGTGTGTGTGGGGGGGGGGGGGGGGGGGCGCTTGGGGTGGGGGGTTAGGGTTAGTGGGATTGGGCTGTGTTGGATTGGGCTGTGTGGGATTGGGGTGTGGGGGATTTGGGTGTGGGGGCTTAGGGTGTGGGGGCTTTGGGTAATGGGGGCTAGGGGTGGGGGTTTGGGGTATATGGGATTGGGGTGTGGGTGGGGGCTTTGGGTGTGGGGGCCTAGATTTTTTTGGGGGGTGGGGGGTTGTATATGGAGCGTTCGGGTTTGTGTGTGTTGTCTTCCCTTTAGAGTAAAGAAAACAATTTTTTTTTAAACGAGCACAATTTTACCTTAAATTAAAACTTTGGCTTAGAAAGAAAAAATAATTGTGGTTTATCTTAAAGCCATTGACTTTAGGATTTAGTGAAGATCTAATTAAAACATTGACAAAGTGGGTGGTGGTGGTGGGCGGGGGGATAATTCAATAGATTCAGGTGAAAATAAAATGTGACATAAGTGACATATTTGAATCAGTTGTACGCACGCGTTGAAGTGTCAATAGATGTACTTTAGATGTCATATTAATGCCATGCAAATGTCAAGCTAATGTCACTCTGGTTTAGTGTCAACTTTTGCATGTTTGTCAGGCTTAAGAGGAGCATTTATCGAGGGACTAATCATTCGTTCGGTGAATCGATCCACACACCACACCCACACACCAACACACACATGAGATCACCACACATCTTATGTAAAGTAAACTACACCAGCCGACACACTTCGCATGCGTTCAATCTATAAAAGGTTAAAGTTCAATAAAAGTAATCAAACAATTAATTACTAATTAATTAAATATCAAACTACATTTTTATCATACTCCGTATAAACACCATATTATGCTTCACCCACAAATTACCCCCCCCCGTCTCACACATCCAAACATACCCCTCATATATAAACTAATCCGTCCTAGAAATCCCGCCCCACCCACAAACGACCCCCCCCCATCACCACCCCTACACCAATGATACTGCTTTCATCTGCGCATGCCCAGTAAACATCCCCAAACACCACACATCATCTCCCTGCGTTTGTGTGCGCAATCTTCGGTAGGATCGATACTTGATACTTCCGCGATACGATACCGTCATCAGGATACCACCCTCGGCGATGAATTATTGAAAGACGATTACCGATGACACCTCGATACCGAGTTCGAACCCACGATTTGCGGTAAAAAAATTCTTGTTTGCTATTTTAAAACCATTTTTCTTTAATTATAATCTGAAACCCGTCGATACTTTTCTTAAACGAGAATTATTTTAAAAATGTATTTAGATCTTGATTAATTAAAAATTAATTACATACCTTTCCTTTTAAAAATAATTACTGCTTGCATTTAAACACTTAAAAATAAAGTACTAAATATTCCAATGATGAAGATTTGATGTAACAAATTAGAAAAAAAATATAATTGTGTGCAATCTTTCTCGATATATCAGCAGCCATAACTTAGACTTAATCCACGAGTGTATCCACAAAATTTTTGGATAAGCTTAGCAATACTCCAAAAAAAAAAAAAACTAGCTGGATAACACAAATCCACGATAGGTTTATGGAAGTCTTGGATGATAATTCATTGGGCCAATATTCATCACATAGTCGGATCGTACTCATCTTGGCCCAGCTTCCGGTTGAGGATGGCCAACGGGCCGACGCCCCCCTGGAAACCGCTGTTGTTGTTGTGGTAGGACCCGGCCCTCTGGGAGGTCTCCCACAGCTGTTTTTGCATCATGGCCAGGCTGATCTTGTTGGCCTGCAGGAAGTCCTTCATGGAAATCATCTCCCCGGAATTTCTCCGGTACTCGGAATCGCTATCCCCGTCAGCGTCAGTAACCGTCACTGTCGGGGCGGATTTTCCGGATGCCGCTGCCGCCGCGCCGGACGCCCTTTTCTGAAGATGCCCGGGGGTAATCGCATTTCTTCGGACCAACGGCGGTTTCCGGATTCGGCATTCGCAGTTTAATTTCCGCAGCATCCAGTTCAGGACTTGTTTAATGACGATGGACGTGACGTTGAACAAACTGTAGATACAGCAACACCCCAACACGATGAAGACGAAATTCCCCAACCTGTACAGTACCACATGCGGGTAGTCGGATTTTTGGCTAACAACGTAATCACCGAACCCTATGGTAGCGAAGGCGACGAAACAGAAGTACATCGCCTCCCAGTAAGTCCACTCTTCCACGGGGTAGTACATCCCCGAGGCGATGAACGCCACCACCAGCGCCCCCAACATCAGTATCAACATCACCCAGTACACCGACGGCTTCCACGAATCCAACTGCTCATCCTCCGATCCTTGACTCGACCGTCGTCTGCCCAGCAGCCCTTTCTTCCTCAACCCGCGCTCGTGAATGGCGCGGAGAATGTAAGCCAGGAAGGTGATGATACGCTCCAGGAACAGGTTGAAGAAGAGGATTGCGCCTGCGCAGCCGAAGAATCCGTAGAACACCAGAACAATTTTTCCCGCCGGCGTTCTGGGGGTCGTCATGCCAAAGCCTGCAAAAAAAAAAATTCAAAAAATTGTAAGACGGTTTTAATGGAATAAAAAAATAAACCTGAATTTTTTCCCCCATTCCGCATTCGATAATTTCAACACGTCTTAGAAGATTCTTGAACATTTTTTTTTCAGAGTGATTCCATCTCGCTAGCTGCTTGCAAATACATTCACGTCTGCTGTAGTGAATGGCTACATTTGTTAAGTTAAAAGTTGTTAAGTTAAACATTTGTTAAGTAAAACATGTGTTCGGTTAAATATTTGTTAAGCAAAATATTATTAAGTAATACATTTATTAAGTTAAACATTTGTTAAGTAAAATATGTTTTAAGACATGTGTTAGGTTAAATATTAGTTAAGTTAAACATGTGTTAAGTTACACATTTGTTTAGTAAAAGATTTGTTTAAGTAAAAGAATTGTTAAGTTAAAATTTGTCAAGTAACACATTTGTAAAATAAAATATTTTTAAAGTTCGATGGTTTGAAAACAAACAGATGTTACAAGTCAGAAATCATGACGTTTCGACTTCCGGTGAATGAATAATAAACACAACAATTATGACACAATTTTTAGGAACCAGCGTGTAGGCTGTCTGGGAAAAAATAAACAATCGCTAACAACAACGTTTGACCACTCCAATATAATACAAATTACAAATTTGACTTTTGGACATCATAATATTGGCCACTCCAATATAATACAAATTACAAATTTGACTTTTGGACATCATAATATTGGCCACTCCAATATAATACAAATTACAAATTTGACTTGTGGACATCATAATATTGGCCACTCCAATATAATACAAATTACAAATTTGACTTTTGGACATCATAATATTGGCCACTCCAATATAATACAAATTACAAATTTGACTTTTGGACATCATAATAAATAACTTTGAAAGGTGTTTGTCAAAATGGCAGAAACTCACAAATTCTACAACATTTGAAAGAGGAAAATTAATTTTATGTTTTATAGGATTGATACAATGAGATAATCAGCGGTGGAATGGTATATTATATATATGATACGTGAAATATAGTTTCTTTATTTTCAAAATTTTGACATTAACGTTATAATTTGTTCAAATAGGTTAATCTATTTGTTAGAGAAAAGTTTTCGAATTATATTTAGTTTCAGCAAGAAAGTTCCCATAGGCTAAAAGACAACGCGATCTCTTCAACCTTTTCTTGAGAACCTATAAATAGACCTCGAGAGGTTGTTGACCTCACACTCGCGAAGAGAAATCTGTTCTCAAGAAACTGAACTTCCTGTTTAGTATTTTTTTTAAAAAGTGATCAGAGTTCAGTCCCCTCATAAACGTATTCATCATGAGATTTCCGAAGTGATAGCCGGTAGAGCGATTGGTTACGTCCCTTTAAAACCAGATTTATTTCACTATCCCGTCACACTTGGCCCGTATAGAAGATTTAAGAGGAAATCAAACGAGAGATATATCTAGAATCTCTTGCAGGGGTCGATTAGTGCGGCGAGTTTCAGTTTTCTGTGTTTTGTTTACAGACGTATTGTTCCCATAAAACCCTAAGTTGCCAGGGCAATTTTTTAAATGCTATTGGGCAATTTAAATGTAATTAGATTCTTATATTTTTTATTTTATTATATTGTTATCATTAGATCATATACTTTTGCGAAATTACTTTGCGCATGGATTGTGTTTAAGAAGAGGTTGAAGTCGGGCATGGAATAACAAAGGACAGGTGAAGTAGAGTTGATTTGATTTATGTGCCCACTACAGCTGATGTGGGTACTTAGTCAGTTTTTTTTTTCATTTCTACCGCTGAACTAGTTTTACATAGGTGTGATGGCGTCATATCCAGACGTCCGCTTAAAAATCGCTCAGTAAACAGACGTCATCCATAATACGCCGTCTAACACCTAGAACTTACATACAAATATGGGACAGGTATGTGTCTAACATTTGAACATTCGCAGGAGCACATTAAAGGAACTTCCTTGTCAAATCTTAAGGGCCAGAGGACAGGTGAAGTAGAGTCCACCTGTTTCTGTGATCACGGCATGTGAAATGGTAGTGTGGTCAGCACTATGGCCAGCCGCCTTTACTTTCCCTATCGTTAGCCAGGTACTCATCTGAGCTGGGTGGACTCTTGGACGTCCTACAGACCTGAGCCCGGGATACGAACTCGAGACTTTCGGGGTAGCAGGTGCTCGCTCTACCATTCGACCACGCCGTCCCTTCGCAGATACACAAATGAGATGGTATTTGACCGCACATATCTACAGCCCTACACAGTTAATGCGGCCATGGCACATTCTAAAATACACGTGTCGCGTACTCGGGTCAAAAGTCAACTCCTTCTGTTTACATGCTCGTCACGTGTTCAATTTGTCACGTGTCGCTAACACCCCCACAGACATTCCCCCCACACCCACACACCCTCACTAATCCTCCTGCATTATGTTGTTTTCTCCAGCTGCGATAATGTCAAACAGGAAGTGAGGTGACGAGTCAATCCGCTTGTTAAAATGTGACGTAATTTCATCATCCGCCATTGTTGTCCATGGATCACGTGACAGCGAGCAGATCACGTGGTGTTTGGATGTTCACGTGACGTATGTTGTGTGTGAAGTGTCATCTTAAGCTCTGTGGGCTGACATCACAAAGTAGGCCTGAAATCGTCGAAAGATCGAGCCACCCCCACCCCCACCACATCTCCCTCAACCACCCTCAGCCCACTAAACTTCCCTCTCACCCTTAACTCTAAGACCACGTGATCCCGACCCTAACCTCACTCCACACCTACCCGCCCCACCTCCCCCTTTCCCCAGACCACAATTGACCACGTCATCCCGACCCTATCTTCCCCTCGCCCCACTCCTCCGCCCCCCAATCCCACCTCATACTTCTCGGACCTCGACTGACCCCACCCTACCCCCACTCCCCAAATCATAACTGTCTTCACGTCACCCCGACCCCTAACCTCACCCCACCCCACTCACCCCACCCCACCCCCATACTTCTCAGACTAAGACTGACGTCACGTCATCCCGACCCCCTAACCTCACCCCACCACACTTTTAATCGCTGACGAGCCATTAAATTTCCCCCCGCGGGGCCATCAGTAAACCCCACCATCCTAAACGTTTCCCGACTCGGCCTAAAATCACAAGAATTAATTGTAAGCCCGAGCGAGACGGAGAAGAGAGAATCTAACTAACCGGTCGGAGACAGCTGACTTTCTCTGGGGAGATGAGGAGACAGTTCTCCGTTTGGCGGTAGGAGTTCGATCAAACTTGAGATTTGGACAAATCCTACAGATTCTCGACTAAATCCCTGTATTCAAAATTCGACGTCAATTTACTTTAAAAAAATTAAACACATATTTATCTGACAGTTATTCGTATTCCGAGACAATATTTTATATATCAAAACGGTATTTAGTGTTTCGTAAAAAAAAATTTCGACTATCGAACAATTAGTCGTACATCGAGATAATTGTTTGTATATCGAGATGATTGGTTGAATATCCAGACCATTATTCGTATATGGAAGCAATTATTCGTATATAGAGTATGTCTTTGCATCAACTATGCAGAAATACGTGTTAGTATAACGATACAATTATTCCATCAGACTATGTCAGGTCCTGTTCTCCTTTCCTTCTAGAACTTTACTCAGGAAAGAGACTTCGACTGTTAAAAACAGTAACTTACAATGAGCTTAAGTGACCAGCAAATTATTTCTTTCAAATTAATACAGGGTACTCATTAAAACTGGGTAAGCTCACCAACATGAGAAGAATTCTCGCGTTGGTCATGTCTACGTTTGAATATTTTGTTCGTATAGTGAGACAATAGTTCGTACATCGAAGCTGATCAAATCGCCTCCACCCTAGCTAAGTAACAGAGCGATACGACAGCAGACAAACAACCGAGCTTGAAATAACAGACTCAGCCCTATAACTCTCCGGACCCTCCCCTCAAAAACCCTTCCCCCATCAACTTTTACCCCCACAACCCCCCCCCCCCCCACAATCCTAATCCCCACCCGACACCGTCTGTTAGCCCTAACTATAATCCCATACCGTCATCATGTTATTCTGGCAATGACGTTTTTAATCCCCACCCCCTACAGCCCGTCCCCGGGAAAATTAAACACGACCGGATGTCTGCACTGACAGCTGATTATCCCGCCCATGGCTAATCCCGAAGTAAACTTAATTTCTAACACCCCCAGGTCGTTCAACTTTATAAATACATTTTGGTTGTTTGCGATTTTTTTACACGTATAACATGGTGGTCAAATATTTTCAATTCTTAATTTGGATCTCATGAAGCAATTGATCACATGATGCCGTTGATCACATGATGCCGTTGATCACATGATGCCGTTGATCACATGATGCCGTTGATCACATGATGCCGTTGATCACATGACGTCATCGATCACTTGAAGCGATAGATAATTTGATGCCATTGATCACATGTACCCTTGATTGGGGAATTTGGGGGTAGAGTGAACCCCTGATTGGGGAATGTGGGGTAGAGTGAACCCTTGATTGGGTGTTATGGGGTAGAGTAAACCCCTGATTGGGGAATGTGGAGTAGAGTAGAGTGAACCCCTGATTGGGGAATGTGGAGTAGAGTGAACCCCTGATTGGGGAATATGGGGGTAGAGTGAACCCCTGATTGGGGAATGTGGGGTAGAGTGAACCCTTGATTGGGGAATGTGGGGGTAGAGTGAACCGCTGATTGGGGAATGTAGAGTAGAGTGAACTCCTGATTGGGGAATATGGGGGTAGAGTGAACCGCTGATTGGGGAATATGGGGTAGAGTAAACGCTTGATTGGGGAATGTGGGGGGGGGTAGAGTGAACTCTTGATTGGGGAATGTGGAGTAGAGTGAACCCCTTATTGGGGAATGTGGGGGGGGGGGGGGGGTAGAGTGAACCCTTGATTAGGAAATGTGGGGGGAGGTAGAGTGAACCGCTGATTGGGGAATGTGGAGTAGAGTGAA